TTTAGTTTTGACCTAAATATTAAGGTAGCTAGCTAAATATTTAACTAGCTAGCTAAATATTTAACTTGTGACTTAAATATTTAGTTATGAGCTAAATATTTAGGTTGCAACTTAAATATTTAGCTTGCAACTTAAATATTTAGCTAGCAAGTTAAATATTTAGCTAGCTACCTAAATATTTACCTTGAAACTTAAATATTTAGCTAGCAAGTTAAATATTTAGCTAGCTACCTTAATATTTAGGTCAAAACTAAATATTTAAGTCACAAGTTAAATATTTAGCTTGTTAACTCAATATTTAATTTGTGAGTTAAATATTTAGTTTATAAACTATGACATTTATAAATGTATGAATCATATGGTGAAAACTGACTTTGAAAAATAAATCTGTAAGAACAGATTTATTTTTCTTATAAAAGACTAAATAAATCAAAAATATTGGTGGTAATTTTTGACTGTGTAACTTCACAAACGGCACCCCATAAGGATGATCTCTAAAAATACTGACCATAAGTGAAATGAACAAGACTACAATGTGAGCTGCAAATGTCCAAGTAAAACAAAAAACAAAAAAAATCAGGTTAGGCTGAAGTTCAGGGAGTGAACAGATGAAGCACAGCCCTGTTTACTTTTCTTACAAATGAGGGCTTATTTTCCATCAGAGGCAGCATCTTTCTTGTCTTCTTGCTGGTTATGGGCTTTTGTGAATTCCTGCTCTGTTCTAGTTCCCATAGTAACCCACCCACCAAGGTGTCAAACACTTACAGATGGGGGGAACCAAAAGATTCGGTTTGATTTGGCTCTAATTAAGCCCCCCCACCCACATGGCAGGGCGAGTGAACGGAGAAAACGTCTCGTCTGCTTCTCTGCCCTGACGTCAAAGGAAACGAGTGACTTTGTACAGAGATCAGCTCATTTGTTGTGTCGTGTCGTCAGTGTGCACATGTGTACAGATGATTGTCAAGTCTATCTAATGAACAATAACCATGTTTGTGTACCATAATGTACAGATTGTGATTCCTGGAAGCAGTAATTTTGTGTTTATTTTTAATTGTCTTGTGGTTCAGAGTGAACAAACGAGGAGGTGGAGTGAGAAACTTGGGTCAGTTTAAATGTGTGTGTGTGTGTGTGTGTGTGTGTGTGTGTGTGTGTGTG